AGCTCTGTCTTTCTAACTCTTCAACCAAATATCTCGAATAGAATTATTTATGAAGTTACTGTATAATAAACTACACGAAAAACAAAATCACAGTGTCTGTAAAATAATCACAGATTAATCATTAGTGGATACAAACTGTAACTTTTATTTAAGATAATATTATTGGGCAACGTAATAGATACTAATGTGTTTAGTTTATGTGCACATAAACTAAACATTGTGCTTTTCATTTGTTTCTGAATGTTTTTTTTTCTCTTCCTGAATAACTTGAGTCAAGGTTTCACTTTCTCCAGTTCCCGCAAAACTGACTTTTTTTCTTCAGGTGTCACTTAGTTTTATTATACTTGAAAAAGATTTTGAACATCAATGAACGTTATTTTAGAGTAAGATAAAATTATTAGTTGTATTTGCACGTCTTTTAATTAAGAACATAAACAGGTTCACAAAAAGTGATTCAAAAAGTGTAATTAAAGGTGCAGGCACAGCAAACACAGCAGAAATACACATTTAAAAAAGACACAAGGCTGACTTGACACATGTTGATGTCTTTGATGGAATTCATGTATTTGGCTATGTGCAAGACTTTAAACTGACCCTCAGCAGAACTTTGTGTGCAGCCTGATGTATTATAATCAGTCTGATCTGGTTCCATGTCTCACTCTAGTGACTAATTATAATTATCATATCACATTATTATATGTAAATGAAGCAGATAATGACATTGCACAGATAATAATTTCACAGATTTGTCCTCAGAACTGTTGTCGCACAGTTAGCACATGAGCACTGGATTGTTTATTCCCATCGATGATTTTACTCTCCTCTGTCTAACTTTCATCATCAGACACACCAGCAAACTCATGTGGCTGGAGATCTGTAAAAATGTAGAATATTAAAAAAAAAAACAAAGAAGGAGAAGTTTAAACAAAAGAAAATGAGATGTAAACAAAGGCACAAGGATTTTCACAGTAGTTGAGATACACACTAATGCCTTGTTAGTTCTAATCCAAACAGCAGCCTGTGGAACAGCACGTTCAACACAGCAAAAAGCAAGTGACAGGTATTATTCACACCTGTGGCAATAGCAACAAGCTGTCAAAACTGCAGACTGTAAGAATTGTGTGGAATACAGAAATAGTCTAACCTTTGCTCGGCTCAGACGACTGACTGCAAGCCAAACGTCTCCACTCCTTCATATACCTACACAAACAATGACAAAATGTCAGAATGAAGGATGGATGCAGAGAAGAATTAACCATTCAGCACAAATACAGCATGTCTGACCCAGTTTAACAAAGTTTTGGGGAATCTGAACCTCAGATGCCTGTGACAGTGAGCAGGGAGTCTTACTCCTCAAAGCTGAGAGTGGTGGTCCAGGACAGGAGCTCATCCAACTCCCACTCCTCCACATCATTGTCCCCCTTCTCTTCAGTGGTCTCCATTGCTTCCTGGGCTGAGTTCCCTACCCGGGTCACCATGTGTTCATGCACTGGAAGGGTCCGACCATGGTTATACCTGTGTGTATGGGAGAGAGCTAATTTATTCTCAGTTCAGCACAATGGTACAATTTATACCACCGAACCTTTGTGACGCCACCAAGGGCATCCAGGGATATAACACATGGAAATGAATACCGGGTGTATTTCTGAGAAAATGTACCAAAAGATTATTGTTGTTAAATGAAGAGAGTTGAACCGTGTGGTGGCATCAATGTTCCCAGTTACAGGTGCACAGATTACAGAATGTAAGACAATTCATCGTGTGAGAGAAAGAACTACATTACCTGCCACAACTGCAGCTTAAACAATGAGCTAATATGAGCCACCACAACTCACATTTGCCTCAGCTATTCAATTTTCCTCCTTTTCCTCCACCTTTCCACATCCTGCTGCCGCTGCAACCTGGAGAAGTGAAAGTCCATCTTTTTGTTTGTTCCGAACTCCATGGGCTCAGCGATGGGAAGCACCTGTCAGAGAAAGGACGCAGCCTAAGAACACAGACTTTATAACACCATGCTCTTATTGGCAACAGTCTGATCTGATCCTGTCCTGGATTAAATCACCAGCTTCATAAGACATGTTCATTACGCTGCTTGGTATGATCAGCTATTACTTAATAACTGTTGTAGCTGTTTGATTTAAAAGGTTTACCGTCTTGCAGAACACCCTCCAGCTGTTGTTTTCTATACGCTGATACCACCCTGACCGTTCCTCCTGCATCGGAGGCCAGCCGATGTTGCTCTGCCGGGCCTCAAGCTTCTTAAGGCCCAGCTGAGTGTAGTTCTTTGGGCTGTTGGCACAGACATCTGCGATGGGCCGGTGGGTGAAGATCTTATAGTAGATGCTGGGAGGAAAGGTGATCTGAAGACAAGATACGAGATGTATATGTCTTTGCAAGATGTTTATGTCTTTGCCATCACATTCTCATAGCTGCAGAAGAATTCAACACACTTACCCCACCAAGACGAAATCTGATGAACACCCCAGCAGCAGCATCCAGCAGCTCCGCCTGCGACAGGAAAGTCTCACCTCACTATTTATTCTACTTCCTCTTTTTATTGAAAAGCATTGTTGGTTACCTCTCGTGGATTGACAGTTTTCAGGATGGACTGTGGATCCCGCTGGTTGCAACCGTTGATCAGCTGTTTGAAATACCTGAAGACTTCTCTGTGCTACATGTGGGAGAGGAAGAGTCTTATAAGGTGCAGGCCTGTGTCTCTAGAACAGTTTGTCCATAGCAGCAGCAGATCACCCACCACATATCTTCTCCAGGCCTTCTGAATTATTCTGGATGCTATGCCTCTCAGCGGCTCCTGCTGGGGCTCCTCAGGGCCCCCTTCCTGGAAGCTGGAAGATGAGGAGAAGAAAAAGAGGAGGCGTAAAACATCGCCTTCTTTTAATTTTCAAATTCTGAAGAGCATTTTTTGTGAGAAGCCTTGTTTTATGATGTAGAATTTAACTGAATTTACTGTAAGACTATATTTGGTATAATTTTGAGCTAAGGACTTTACCTTATTGAAGTATTTTAATTTTCTGCCGCTTTTTTACTTGTCATACTTTGTACTGTGCTGCATTTATTGAACAGTCACAGTTAATATCTGATTTACTGAGGAAGGGTTTACATTTATTTTATAACATTTAACCTGAATATAAAGTTGTTAAAAGTGGCTTCCTTGACTTGTCAGACTCAGAAGAGATGTCTGAGTCTGATTGATGGACAAGTTTATATTATTTGAATGTGCACACAGGGCTCAGCACTATAATATAACATGAAAAATTACATTGTTCATAATGACCATTTCAATTATTGTACTTTGTCAGGGAGTTAAATGCTGAGGAGCAGCAAAGAAAAAATAACATGATTTGTTGAATTTGAACCTGGCCCATGATGTGACATTTATAATGGGAATATATACTTATACAGAAAATAATAATGATAAGAATTATAATAATAAACTTTATTTTTATAGCACCCTTAATAACAGAGTTTACAAATTGCTTTGGCAGCAAAGCAAAAGGCAAATACCAGAGAAATAAATAAATTGGCAGGAAGCAATCTGACAGGAAGGCCAGACATCAACAATGAGTCAAGGAACAATAAATTAATAAATGAAATAAAAGGTGATAAGAAAATGATAAAAAGACGATAAAAAACAGACATCACATGAAAGTAAGTCAATGAAAATGGGTTTTAAGAAGTGATTTAAAAGAAGTCACAGACTCTCCCTGTGATGTCGCTTGGAGCCAGGCCCCGGTGTGCTTTAAAGGTGATCAGCAAAAATCAATTCTAAAACGGACAGGGAGCCACGGGAGAGAAGCAAGGATGGGGGTGATGTGATGTTGTCTGTTAAAACCAGTGAGAAGCTGCTGCGTTCTGAACTAGTTGAGGGAGTTACACAAAACACCAGTAAATACACCATAGAGCCAATTGCACAAACTTACACTAATCTCACTTCTGACAGAACAGGAGTTAATACATAACAAAAAGAAAAGAACACATTACCTCATGGCTTTTTATTTCCTCTTTCAATGATTCAATATACCAACTCAGCAGGTGACACATTAGGTTACCTAGCAACTAGCCACAATAAAACACGATGCCTTCCAAATAAAACCTTTATCATCAGAGACGTTCAAGATTATCAAAGAAAACTTTATGGTCCCAGAGAAGCACTCAAAAAACACGGTCTATAGATGTCGAGATATTTGAGCACAAACTTGTTCATGAAGGCAGCGTAGCTCTCCGACCTCAGGAAACTGGAATATCATACAGCAGGTGTGCTTTTATTCTGAAGGTGGAGTGACTTCAATTGAAAATTATTCATTCTTCACTCAAAGGAGAAAACAAACAAAACAAACACAGATTATGCTTTTAAAAAAATCTAATGATACAAAGAGGGTTAGAAAAAGTAAGATCTTTAACAGTGACCAGATCGGCACATAGACTCATACCAGTTTTAACAGGTACAGAGTATTTCTTCTACTGCACATGTCCACAGTCTGATGGCTCCTGGAATAAAACATCTCTGTCTGTTTTACAGCAGTTGAACTGAACCTCAGTCCTGTTGCCCTAAATTTAAAGGTGAACAGAACTGTTCTGCCTCTCGGCCATTGGATGGCGCTGTTTACCAAGCAGCTCCATCTGCTTTCCATCACTCAAACAATTTACAGTAACAATGAGTGTATCCACGTGCACCACACACACACACACACACACACACACACACACACACACACACAGTCTATCTTCTCAGTACATTCTATGGTAAAACATGGAAGCAGAGTCTCAAGGTTGTGTGATCTCTATCTGGTATAGAACAAAAACACAAGAGTTGCTGTTGTAGTTAAAATAACTTTAAACTGTGTGTCTGTATACTGCTGAAAGTGTTAAAGGCTTAAACGACTCTACAGTCTGAACATACAACTTTGGTTTTTTGTCTCTGTATGTTGGCCCTGTGATTCACTGGTGACCTGTTCAGGTTGAAAGGATAAGCAGTATAGATAATGAATGGATGATGGATGGATGGATAATCTAAGCTGATTGGTTGCCACGGTGCTTTAAAGGAAATACATTTCACAGGTAAAACACAGCTAGGGTTGGTTCAGGCCAAAGTCCAGTTTCTTTTTACAAAACCAAACAACTGAATCAGTCCAGTTACTTTGGAATCCAGTCACAGTCAGACAATGAGGGAGACATTTATATTTTATATGTTGTGAAGGTAAAACAAAGACAAGACCTAAAAGATGAATGATGATTACGATGAGGGCATGAGAGAGAGAGAGAGAGAGAGACAGAGGAGTCAGTCTAAATAAAATATGTAATAAAAATACACCAGTCTAACCTGTTCAGGTGAAATATACAAACAGAGTTGTTTTTCATATGTACAAATTGTTGCTTTCTTTACCCAAGAATGGGTCCTTTATATTTAAATACTTAATATTTACATTCGGGAGAGGGTACTGTACGGAGGATATATATGGTTTGCAGATAACATAGGTTCCTGTTTGGTTCAGAACCAGGGAACTTACTGATATGAATATAGACAGAATGTCCATTATGCAAATGTCAGCCATGTATTTTCCTCACCAGAGCCTGAGGGCATGTAGAAGAACTCAATTCATGTTATTCAAAGCAGAGGTCTCCCTCATATTTCAGACAGTTTGTTTTCTTGGGCCAGTGGTGGTGGGGGGTAGGGGGGGTTTTGGTTGCTCTATCTTTTTGACTCCTAACAAGGAGAGGTTGTTATATGAACTTTGTTCCCATCCTCAGAACATGCAGAGACAAATATTTTAACAACTCATACTCCAACTAAATATTTCCCCCCTGGTGTAACACAGAAATGTATGATGCTGGGGAGAAAAGTCAGAGCCACATGCCCAACATTTCTAAACGAGGGATCTCGATCAGTTTTGTGTTAAAATGAAGTTGAAAAACCGCACAGCTCTGATCTGTTGGCTTAGTATTTCAATTAATTTGGAGTTTGGCTGCCAAGTCAACAGAAGGCCTGGTCACAAACATCTAGTACAGACAGAGCGGAGAGTGGTTTGTACCTGAAAGAAAATAACTTTTGTATTTAATATTGTATACATTAAATTGTTATTAATTGTGTTAGTATAACGTTAATTTGAGCAAAGTCAATTCATCCATCCCTTCACCCACCCACTCACCAAACCATCCTTCCATTCATCCATCTTTACCCACCCACCCATCCATCTTGACTGCACATTATGATATGTGTCTTTCTATATGACACAAATGGCATATCCATACCATTACCACCAGTATTCTCATTTTAAGGAAGTGCCAGAGTCAGAATCTATGTGTCTGTGAGTGATTCTTCTCCTCCCTCCTCATTAGCCTCTTTCTGTTGCTGTGTGGTTTCCTCCTTTGCCCACATAATGATTATTCCTGGACCCGGCAGAGTCATGATGATTTTCTCTCTAACATGGAACCAATCAACTGTCATCAGCATGGAAGCTACACCATTACTTTATGGAGTTCAAGCAATCAAAGAAAGGTCTGAAAGGCTCTGTCATCCCACAGTGATATTGCCGCTTGTGAGGTTGGCAGAGAAAAAACAAGCAGAGGAAAAATTACAAGGTCAAAGTACGACAACCATCCACTTGAGCCTTCATTGAGGACATGAGCATAACACTGAGGTCAGTGGTGGAGTCCTGGCCTCAGCTGCAAAAACGAGACCATGAACGGGTGAATTGCTCTGGATGAATAGTTCAGGGAGGAGGAGGCTGAGAAGGAGAGCAGAGAAGGAGGTGTTTTCTTTTCGAGATGGCTTCAGTGCTAAGAGAGGGGACACATTTCTGGATGGAAGAACATGGCAAGATGAAGGCTCAGAGGACCAATTAAAAATGGCCAAATCAATGTGTGACAAACCAGCTGAGCACTGACCTGCAGCAAATGCAAACCGATTCTCAGAGGACGGTCAGTTGGCTGCAGGAGAAGGTCACAGAGAAGGACATATGATCATATAAGGTGAAAAGAAGAGCAGCATCAAAGCAGCATCGTAGAGGAGGAGGCTGCAGGTTGGATGGAATGACAAAACGAAGGAGAAAAAAATAAGTGTGTCAGGCTGCAGGGTCTCGTGCTCAGTTTGGACAGGAGAAGATAATGGAGGGGAAAAAGCTGCCACAGCAACCCCCCACCCCCTCATTTGAATTTATTTCCACCCTTGCGATGTTAAAATATGGATCCTGCATCTGGTGGAAATGTGATACATATGACAGGTTCGTTGAGTTGTGACACCCCTCAAGGGATTATCATGATTGAGTGAAAGTGCTGGCACAGAAATAGTCACCTCCTTTCTGGTGAATGTTGTAAAAGACGGCAAACAGTGATTGGTCGGAGAGGAACATGTGGTATGTCAAGACTCTCTGTGATGACTGTAATCTGCAAAGCGCTGTGGGTGTAGCATCTTTCCAAGTGCATCAGGTGTTTTCTCTCTGTTTTATCTCCGTCAATGATCTAACCTTTTCCCTTCTTCATTCTCTCTACCTGCTGTATCTCATCCTCATCCTTCTGCCTGTTTGCTCTCTGCCGGGCCGTTATCTGCCTTCTTTGCCCTTATCCAGCTCTCCGTCTGTCTGCCTGGTAACCCAGTCATTCTTCTTTCTTCCCAGCCGTGTTTCCATGTGCAGACGCTTCTGAGTAAAACGTCAACTGAATAAAAGATCAAACATTGTTCTGAACTGAATAGTAATGTCAGCCTAAACTGACTCATTTGTTTTGAGCACTCCTTTTTTCCACTCATTAATTAATGCAGGACATTTGGGGCATTCACACGGTGTCATTGGCAGAACAAGGAATACAGAGCTCTGTCACAATTTTCCAGCTGGTTAATTAGCTCTAATCTTGTTGTTAGGACGTAGATACTGATTACAGTAGCTTTTGTTGTTGTGGAAGTTTGTAACCGAGTGAAACCAGAGCCAAACAAACTGTGTACCGGTCCTTTACAATGGGTTGGGCAGTATCAATGTTAATGTCTGGTTTTATAAGCAGCTGTAGTTTGTTGACATGTTTGTGGTTCTTCACCAACAGAGAGAAATAGTCACTGTCACAGTACAATATCCCAAACTCCAATACAGTAAAAACTATACTACCCTTTACTCCTAATACTTTCTGCCTAACACATACTGCCTCTTTTGTTTTAGTTCATCTACCGGGAAGATAAGGGTACATTCAAACTGAATACAGATTAAATTCTTTCCTTGTTATTTGCACAAATGTGATCTCTGGAGTGCTTTTCTACTTGTTGTTTATTCAGCCCAAACAGCCAAAGCACAGACTGCCCAGGTATTAATTATCTTTAGGAAATGCTAAATTCAAGACAATGCTTTACCAACTACAGTGATGCTCAGCAGAGTGTTAACCTCCCAACACTCTTATGTAACCACATTTTAATTCACTGCACAAAATTGCACACATTCATAGATCAATCCCCTCAACAAGCCTGATTTGACTCCAATGTGAAGCTGTTGTCGACGAGTTCCAATATTTGTGGTTTTTGGGTTAAATCTCTTCTTGTGCTTGTTTGCATTGTCCTGTCTCGAAGGTCACGAAGGTGCCTCTGCTTTTCAGGAGGATCGATTGTCGCTGCAAAACAGGCTCCACAGAGAACAAACGCTTTAGGAGGAGACGTTAATACGAGAGTGAGGCACGAATCCAGCGCACTGTTCCTGCTTTGTTTGTAAAGAGATGTAATAACTATAAAGCTATTTGAAGAAGCTTATGATGATGATAACAAGTGTTGTTGGTTTTAAATTGAGCCTGCTGCCTGTTTGTCTCCTTATTCATTTGGCAGAAGCCTGACAGTTCTCAAAGCTTCATTAGACAAAGCTCCTTGTTTTCCACCACAGTGTAATTATATGTAAACAACTATCCCCTGCTCAGCAAAGTATCCTGTAAGGGTCTTCATTATCACTTCCTTAATAATTTTCAGACATGACCTATGGGTCAAATCCATAGAATTGGCTTCAGAATTCACCCAGAGTTT